CACATTCACGTATCTAAATATTATTCCGCTCTCAACTCCAGATAAAACCCAGCATCTAAAACAAAAAACAAAGAACCCCAAAAAGTCAGTTTTCTCTCCACACAAATGCAAATTTTGCAGAAATGGAATGCACTTTTAGATGCGCTGGCCATTTGTTTTGTGTCCTGACTTAATTAACGCTGACTTACTCATGTTGCCAGGACCTCGTCCCTGCGCTCCTCTTAACCCTCCCCCTCCCCCTCCCCCCGGGGTCCTGTTAACCCCCTAGTGCTGGCTCCGTAAGCCGCTTGCTGGCATTGTTGCTGTCTTTTGTTGATAATTACTTTTGATAACTTGGTTCTCTCTCACTTAGTGTGTGTCTGTCTCTAGTTCGTAGTTCCATCCCCTCTTGGGTTTTCACCATTTTCCTTGTCTATTTTCCCTATTTTCTCCGCTTTTCACGCGGTTTTTCGGTATATTTTATTGTTGTTTCTGGTGGTTTTTAGCAGCGGCAGCCGACTTGCATATGGCGCCATTACAGGAGCTTATCATCAAGCTTTAGTCGAGCTTTAGTTTCCCCCAACACTTCGTCTGCTCCCTTCCCCCATTTTGGCAACTGACTCGGCTAAGTGCTCAGTAAGCCTTGAGGTAGGTCAAGCTAAAAAATATTTCAGACAGGCTCGAAATGGGCAGCAAAAACCGTATGAAATTCCGTGAATAATGCAATTATCGTGCAGTTAAGCTGCAACACAAGACCATTAAATATTTACGAAAAGGCTGGTGAGAGGAGGGTTAAACCTGCAAGCTTAAAGACGAAACTATTATAGTTAGCTGCTAGTGATGCCTCAATTTAAAATAACAACTATTTTGGTTAAGCTGCATTAAAATGTTGGTATGTTGACCGGATTTAAAATCGCTTTAAATGTATTTCAAAGAATGTCCAACAAGTCGTTATGGGTTTTACACCATGTTTGGAATTTTATTTGTATACACATTTACAATTCGATGTTTTAAAATTAATCCAATTTGAAAATGTTTTGTAATTATTTTTCAATACCCAACGATTTTTTGTAACCCTTGTATGCCATTTTTAAAGCATAAGAAGTTTCAACCAAATTTATAGCATAGTTCTGAGCGCATTTTAAAATCGTTTCCATTAAATGCACATTTATTTTAACAATAAAACCCCCAATTTTTCACAGATAATGAATACTAAATATAATTTTTTGTATTTAAATATCCCTAATTTACACTTCCTTTTCTTATATTACTCCAACTTTTCCTCAATTTAATTTCCAACTGAAAGAAATTTCACTTGAGGAAATCACACAACACATGTATGTATGTACAAAAATTGTTTCCCCATATTATGCTAATTTTGTGTTGGCTTAGAAAGTGCTTGCCCAAATATTTGCCACAAACACTCCATTTACATATTGTAACGCACCCAATTTTTGTTTTTTTTTTTTTGTTTTATTGCCTATATCTCTCGCCCCATCCTCTGCTCCACTGCACTGCTTGCGTCCACTGCTTGACATGCAAATGTGTGTGTCTGTGAATAATTCTCCTCCCCCTTCCGCTGTTGTTGTCGTTGTTTCTGTTGTTGTTTCTTCCTCTGCTTCGCACATTTCCTTTTATTGCATTCCTCTTTTCGCACACGCACTAGGCCCCAAGTCTCCAACTCGAACTCTTCTTCTTGCACTCTTCTAATTGTCAGCTGTCAGATATGTACACATAGAAAAACAAATTGTTGAGGTTAAAAGATTTTTTTATATAATATTAAAAGGACATTTCTGAATCCCACATTTTATATTTATTTCACTTTAAATATTTTTAAATTAAAAGTTAATTTAAATTTCTTTCTGTGTATTAACATACATACAAATATGCACATATATTTACTATACATATTTTGATATGTAAGTCGGTTACTTTTGCCAAAGTGTCCTTGAAACGGTTGTGCGTATGGATTTAGGTGCGGTTGTGGGTGTGTGGGGTGTGCGTATATGTGTGTATTGTGTCTGTTGCCAAGTGTGTGTGCGTGTGTGGACAGCTGTTAAAGTGACAACATCGCGTTGAAAATTTATGCGATTGCTTATAAAACGGATTGATTTTGATATGCAGGCCATGTTTAGTGATTCATTGATGATACCGGCACAGATCCAGAAGCGAGTTTAGAGTCATCACAGTCTATAATCAAAATTAACAGTGTGCTAAATATTTTATTACTCCACTTAAGCGACTCACACGACTTGAATTAAACCATAAAATTTATCTTATTTAATTAATTGGGTTCGGTATTAAAAATAACAAAGCAAAACATGTGTTGGACAAGCTTTAAAAATTTCATAAGAGATTTCTAGAAGTAAAAAACCTTACAAAAATATTATTTGCTCAAATATATTGCATTATGTATTATTTATCAAATCAAATTATAAAAGACAACGATCAAAGACCTAGTTAAATTCAAATCAAAAGACCGTTGCCCCATATATTCCACCATTGAAAGTAAAAACCCCATTTAGCTTAATTTCCCACACAAACCACTTAATCACCAGGCAAAGTGATGGATATCAGACCAATTATTCATATCGTTAACATAATTCCCATTATTCCGAATAACAAAATAAAAACCCAAATAAAAACTGAAGAAAAAATGCAAATCAAAAGGTCATTGAATCGCCACACACAAAGGCGTAAAGAAACTGGAGTCTCGCCCGCGTTAGACATCATTTGTATGGCTTGGCCATAATCACGGATAAATAATTAACAAATTTTGATTGAAAATGTCAAATTGCCATAGCCCTGAGCTAAATCCGCTGCGAAAAAGAAGAAATACAAAAAAGAAATAAATAAATTTGCATAAAAGCAGCGATAAAAGAGAGCGCCAAAACAATTTGTCAATGTAACGCCCAAGAGGCCATTTACTCCTCTCACTCTCATTCTCCCAATCTTCGCATCCAAATGGGGGGAGGTTAAGGAGGTGGAGAAGGCCAAGAAGAAAGGGGAGAGGGACAGGCGGTGATAGCGTGCTAATTTGTGCAGACAGAAAGACAGAGAGAAAGAGAGACAGAGAGAGAGTCAAAATAGAGCCATAAATATGGCAAATGTTTGAAGTTGATTCGCTTCCTTCCCCTCCTCCTACTCCTCCCACTCCAACATCTCTACCGCTCTCTTTCTCATTAAGCCGACACTTATAAAATTATCGGTAAACCAAACTTGATGACTTGGAGCGGTCTCTCACCTTGAGCTTTTTATATTGATTTCAATTCCGAGCCAAAAAGACATAAAAAAAACAACACAACTCAAGAAAAACTCGTCCGTCTGCCATCTCTCGATATCATCAAACGATATTCGTGCCACTGCAACAGCGGCATTCAAAAAATTGTCCGTAAAAAGCTAACAATGAAAATATAAAAAACAAAACAAACTAGTAAAAAAATAAAGTAAAAAAAAGTAGTTTACTAAACTGTTATTACATCTCCGCCGATTCATAGAAAGCTAACGTGGAAAAAAGGGGAAACGAATTGAAAGTGGAACGAACGGATGTTCGGCAAATAAACCATCCGCACCGTGGGCCCAAAAAAATGCAACGACTATGGGCATGTCCAAAATGGATGTGAAAGAACTTCAAGACCGGGTTTACGTGACGAAATTTATTAATTCTTCATTCAAGCCAAGAATTCACTTTTTTCTTTTATAAATTCGAAGGGGGTAAACAGAGTTTTAAAAGGTTTAGAAAGACATTAAATAAAATGCTGAAAAGAAACTTAAAAACAAAACAATTTTATTCTCTTCCATAGCTTCGCATTTAATCAATCAAAATACTTATTTTCTAGTTTTATAATTTTATTTCATACAATTATCTTATTAATTATTTATTTTCAAGGCATTTAGTTTCCTTCAACTAATAAATTTTAATTAAGTAAATGCTTAAGTACAAGGCTTAAGACTTGAGGACAATTATCTTCAATTTCAGCTTTATAAATTTCAGTTTTTAATACTTTAAAAATTAAAAATGAGGAAGCTAACCAAAGAAATAATGCATAATTACTATGCTTACTCTCCGCCACCTGTTTCCCACATTTATTAGCCTATTTGTTTGCCATGTTGCCACACTTCCACGTTTCTCAAGAGCCAAGTTTATTTGAGCCAAGCCAATAAAAGGTAATTGAATTGCAGCCGTATCTAAATCGGATCCAGAGATTTCCCAATTCTTCCCACAGTAGATCGCCGCATAGGTGAGGCTCAAAAAAAAAAAAAAAAAGAGAAACAGAGAGAAAAATGGCAGTTCCCCAATTCCCAGTTCCAATCCTCCTGCTGGCTACATAGGTTCCAGCTGGTTCCAGCTTATGGCCCGATCCAAAAGGGTGCCCCAGACACCACGTAATGCTCCACTTACTTCCTCGTCCATTGGAGCTTTCAATTTGCACAAAACTCCACATAAATTACATAAGTTTCGGCCACCTGAAAACCTGAACCAGGGCACTCTTTTGCAGGAGAAGAAGCTGCAGAAGAATGGGCGAGGTGAAGAGATGTGCGTGTAAGTGCACCTTCGTTTTTTTTTTTTGTTTTTTTTTTGGAGCAGCTTTTTCGGAAACCTGTTGACCAACTGACCTTGAGGCACTTTGGAGATGGGGCCGCTTACGCAATGCCGAGCCATAGCCATAGCTCCGACGATTCCAGTTCGATCTGCCGCCGATCTTCTCCAGCCACATGAAAGTCAACAAATTGCAGCCAGCCAAGATTGCAAAATTACATTTGAAGTTGAGTTTTTCCCCAACACCACGAAGATCTTTGGCTTGTCAAAAATGTAAACACACAAAAGTCGGGAGGGGAAAAATAATAATAAAAAAAAAACAAAAAATACAAATACAAAAAAAAAAATAAAGTTTAAAACGAAGCAACTGCGCTGCCGACGTAGACGCCACCGCTTTTGGCCAGGTCTCAAGTGCGATATAAAAGCCCGGCCGCCAGCCGCTCAACGATCCACAGTCCAAAGTCGCTTGCAGCGAAAGACATCGAGTGCAGAGAGTTTAACCACCCCAGAAAAGTCAGCCTAAAAAATATCTGAAAATATGTTCAAATACGTGTTGGTCGCCAGCCTGCTGGTCACAATCGCCCTCGCCGCCCCTGCCGTGAGTGTTAACTATATAAAAATCATATAACAAAAAAAACACCAAGAGTTCAGAGACAATTGCGGGTTTACAAGTTTCCATTTAGTGACAAAGAAAAGTTTTCATAACGCGTAGTGGTTGTTGTTGTTGGTGGTGTCGATGCCGTGGAGTCCACTTTTCACGATCGCACGCACTTGGGCCGCTTGGTGCTGCGGTCCATTTCGCATTTCTCAAAGCTGCCGCACTTGACATTGCCACAATAGCTGCCAGTGGATCCGGCTAGGGATTATAACACAAGATTTATATAGTAAAAAAAAAAGTATAGACAATAGATATATAGCAGAAACAGGAATAAAATTAGACGAGAGAGAAAGGAGTTCACATTTAAGCTTAGTAAAGTTTCGCTTTGGCATTTTCTGAATCCTTAATTTTTATTTTTAACAATTCTACAATGATCCATAAATGATAAAAGTTAATCAAAAATTCTTTAAAAACAAAGAATTTAACTCAAAATACTAGTAGAAGTTAAATTTCTATTTGTTTTTTACTTTAAGTGGTAAAATAATACTTCTAGATTATCAAATCCATTATAACTTAGAATACAAGAAAAATACTGTAGGCTTTTAATATAAATGATAATTTTTTTGATGCCATTTATAGTACATAAATTTAAATCATAGCAAGAATATCAATTCGACAAAAAAGAAATTTTAAAAATTTGATTTTTTAAATAATTTAACAACTTTCATTTACTTGTATATATTTGTTCCTAAAGGAAAAGTATTCTTTCCTTAAAACTTTCAAATTTGGATGGTGGATATCAAAGCTTGACTAATAACTAAATTTCTAGAAAATTCCTTTTAATATTTACACTTTATATATAGTACATAAAGTATGGAATATATATAGTACATATTATATATTATATAGTATATATTATATACTCACTATTTTTGCTGCCAAAGGGTGACTTATCGGCACCGGAATTACCCAGCAAATTGGGTTGCACGCAGCTGCGACCGTTGCACAAATTTGGGCAGCACTTGCCACCAATGGCACTGCACTCGCTGTCGTGCAGGCATTTGGGAGTGCAGTTCTGAACCTTGGTGGATGAGGGGCAATCTGCACAAATAATAATAAACAAAAACGAAGGGGGAAATTTAGCAACAAAAGCTTTGACAAAAGCTGGAAGTGCCAACTTACCACCGGCAGCCAAGGCGGCAACCACACAGGCAGCAATCAACAGAGAAAGAAAGCCCAGCTTAACTGCAATGAAAGTGCCAAAGCAAATTCTTAGTTTTTCCGCATTTCGTGCAAATTTTACATATCTTGGTATAACTATATATATATATATAGTTGAGACATACCCATGATGATAGTTGAGGGTATTTATTTGGCCAGTTGAACGTCCGCTTCGCTACTATAGTCAACTTCGACTGGCGTTCATCGGGCTTTATATGCCCCGATCGGTTGTTTCGAGTCGAACAAGTTTTCAGCTTATTTGCGTTTGTATTAATTTTTGTATTTTGTATTTTACCTCCCCGCCTTGCCTTGACGGTGAGGTACTAAAAACAAAGGAACGAAAATACACAACAAGGTAGTTATCAATTTGACTTTGAATTTACATACGAACCAGGATCGGAATAGGAGATATTTGTAGGCGCTACTTTAAAGTAAAGGGGGTAGGATATTAAAAAAATATATATAATATTTAAATGGTTTGAATAAGCAAAGATCTTAGGATTTAATTTAAATAAATTATCACTTTAAACTTTCAACTACTTCCAGATGTATGTTGAAGTCTGCTAGAACTCAAAACTTTTGAAGGATTTGAATATCCTTTATTTTTTAAATTTCTCTGAAAAATGTTTTTTGAAAATATTCCTTACTTACCGCGACATTAAAGCGCACTTGATATAATCGTGAGACCCCAACCTGAAGCACATATCTTAACTACATCGATATCTTTCAATTACTATTTCCGTTCATGCAGTACTCAGACTCAAAACAGCGCGAAAAATATGTCAAAGCGTCGTAATGTATCATTTCTTCCTCTTCCACTGACACTACGATTGAGTCATTGTTTATACGAGATGATAACCAATGATATTTAATGATTTTCAAAACTGATTCCCTTAAAATTCAAGAATTACCTCCCATAAACTCTTTATCTGTCAAGAGTAATGTAAACAATTATGACAGATGTCTATATAAATTAATAGTTTTGCGGTTCAATGGGTCATTGGCAATATTGCACAAAGTTGCATAGTCATTTTAGCGATGGAAACGAAGGGGAAACTTGAAGATCTGGCCAGCCGAACTAAATATTCTGCTTTAAAAAACTGGTTAAATTCACTTAAAATTTAAATAAAGCATGAATTTATTACAAAACCTAAAAGGGGTGTGGCTGCTGCCTTGATAAAATTTTCAGCTACTTAGATAACACTTCATATAAATAATAAATGAGTGAGCATGTTTAACACATTTTTGAATGCTCTTACTTTGAAAGTTATAAAATTAAAAAATGCTTTATAAATGGTTTGAGCTTCAAATGCAGTTTAAATTGTATAGCATGCTTTTGGACACTTTTTTAAGGGATTCCAAAGCTCTGCTTGCTAATACAATTTCTTTAAAATTTTTAATACCCATTTCTAACAAATGATATATTTAAATATAATTTACAGCGTGAAGAATCCGATGCCGAAAGACAAGAGCGAGAGGAATTGGAGAGGTATCAGAATGAAAATGCCCAATACTCCTTCAACTCCAACGTGGATGACAAGATCAATGACGGTCAAATTAGCCGGACAGAGGAGCGTGATGGTGGCACTGTGCGCGGCTCCTACAGCTACTTTGATGGTTTCGTTCAACGCCATGTGGAATACATTGCCGATAAGGATGGCTACAGGGTGCTGAAGGACGAGATGAAGGACGTTGGCAATGGCCCCCAGTTCAATCCCGAAGGCCAAGCTGATGTTGAGGGCTCCCTCATCGGCAAATACTCGATCAAGTTGGACAAGGACGATGACGAGAAGCACTACAAGGATATCCATGCCTAAGGAGAGGGACTACTTGGAGGATTTCTAACATTTAGAAATGGACTGAATACTTCTTAAAGCCTTAAACGTAGAGTAAACACCATCCGAACAGAGTTGTATTTTTCTCCAAAATAAAATATTGAAAAAAAAAAGATAAGTAAAGTAACTGCGATTCCTCCTCTAAATTTGATAGTTCGTTCCGATTTTCAAATTTATTCGTAATAATCTTTATTTATTGGTTAATTTTGCGGTGAGTGCATCTAGGAGCAAAATGTTATGTTCTTCATCTTCGTTTTGTAAGGGTTTCTGCTTTTGAATTTTGGTTTTATTTTGCCATATGATGTCTTCATGTTGATTTACTGGCTATAATTCAATGTCTTCAATTTATGGTTTCTTATTTTCATGTTTCTTCTTTTTTTTTTGTTTTTTTTTATAATTTGCATTGTATTTTTTTGTATTTATCAACAGTTTTTAGCTTAATGTATAGGGTCTCGTTTTTAGAAATCATTTACGTGTATTACATTTACGTTTATGCGCTATATGCTAAAGAAATGTGGGCGTGAAGAGTCTTAGAATGCTTGGGGTGAGTGTTCGTGTGTGTTGTCGGGTGAATAATACTAAACTTAGAGAGTTACAAATTAAAGCCTAGACAGGAGACGCCACATGCCTGACAAAATACACTATGAATATTTCATAAGTTACACTGTAAATTATAGTATACTTATACAGCAATAAGTATATCGATCGAGTTCATAGTATTCACATTAAACGAACCAACCGAATCACGCACATATCGAGCGAATAAATTATAAAAATATAGTCATCCGACGTAAGTGAGTTCATATAACTAACCTAATCTTGTCTCTGCTCCTTATACGTTATTTCATATAAGTTACATTTAAACATAAATATATTTACATTTGTTTCTGTCTCTGTTTCGTTAGTATTTATAGCTTTTGCCTTTTTCCGATCTGAGATGCCTTGCTGTTACAATTACAATGAGAGTTTCTATATGGATCCACTTGTTTTAGAGTGCCGCGTGCGATGATATCCTTAAACAATCACAAATAAACAACGAGTATCTTAGGGGATATACATATGCGTCAAGCATACAATACACAACACTAGCTTTTGCCTCCATCTCCATCTTCTCCTTCCCTACTAACTTTATACAAAAAGTGTCTGCTACGTTTGCTCTGCTTAGTTTACATGGTTTTGCGAATTATGAATTATAATATACATATATGTATGGTTGCTGCGTCTGTGCCCGTGTAAGCCTCTGCACTTGCGTTGTGTTTTCTTCTTTTCGTTTCTTGTTGTACAATTGGTTTTTGCTTTGCTCTTTGCTTCTTGCTCTTTGATTGCTATTAGTCCACAGATCATAATGCGTTCGGTGTCTCTATACTGGGTCTCTAAGTAACTACAATGCGTTATCCATCTCATCTGATCACGCAGGCCACGCACAGCTTGGCCGCACTGATGCAGTCGTCGTGGCAGAAGGCGCCGCACTGCTGACAGATCACCATGGCGTTCAGCGTGCAGGCGCAGTTGTTTGGCGTTGCGCTGTTGGCCTCGTTGCCCGGCGGAGTATTCTCACCGCTCTGATGCAACTGCAGCAGGGGATGAGACTGCGCTGATTGCTGTTGTTGCTGCTGTTGCGATGCCTGTGGAGAAGCTGCTGCGGTTGGGGCTGCCGTGGTGGTCACTATGTAGTTGTTGCCCGCCTCCATGACAGCGACGGCCGTAGAGTTGGTATTGCTGCCGTCGATGTAGGCTATGTTGGGCCCTAATTTAGGTGAGTATTTAATGTATTAATTAAAATTGTAAAAGGTACTGCTTACTTAGAAACTAGAATTAAATACTTACTAATAAATAAAGAATTCTAATTAAATATAAATATATTTATATTAATAAGGAGTTGACTTAGCAGGGACCGTAAATAGGACTGTTCTTCTATTAATTTAATACAAAATTTGATTGCACAACTAAATGTAAACAGAATACGAAGAATTCTTTTAGTAGGTTTTAAAAATCAAAATAATAAAAATACATCATTACTTTACTATGAAATAAACTTAAAAATCCAATTTCTACCGATCCCTGCTGCTATCTCTTTGGATTCACACCAATCTTTGATTTGAATCCGCTCAAAACACATGCAATTTACCTAATTAAAAATTAAAATTCAATCACACGCCAGTTAATCTAACAGATCTATTTGCAACCAACTAATTATTGCGTGCCAATTGGATGGTTTGATGACCAATAAATGGATGAATTTTGTGGGTGGTGATTTGAAAGACGTACCTCGCTAACCACTAATAATACACCAATTTACCTGCAGCGATATTGCGCCGCACAATATTCGCGGCGGCGCCCACATTCCCCAGCGGCTGTTGCTGCTGTTGTTGTTGCTGCTGCTGCTGCAGTTCGTGATGATGATGATGATGATGCAACGCATCTGTGGCGGAAACGTTGCCACCACTGCCTGCCGTTGTATCCACTGATGCTGGACGCCCGCGTCCGCCCATGTTAATGCCGTTGAGGCTATGTAAAGGATTCTGAACGGTGACAAACTGGACAAAAACAAAAGTGTTATATAGTATCGAGTATTTTATAGTCTAAGGTATTATTTACCTGATTCTGATGCAACGGCGGGGCACTGGAGGCCCTTGGCGCTTGATTGTCTGCTGCTCCCACATTCGCTCTGTGCACTAGCACATACTGCCCGCTGCCATTCTGATGGATCAACTGCTCAGTACCCTGCGCCTGCTGTTGTGAGTTTTGTGGCACTGGCGATGTTGCCGCCGCCTGTTGATGCTGTTGCTGCAGCAACTGCAGCTGCTGCGGAGTGGCAGTAGCTCCTCCAGGCCCAGGACTGAACACATGCCGGATCAGGGTAGTGGGCGAAGGCTTTCGCTGGACATATTTCTTGCGCGGAAAGCCACTCATTCGGGGACCAATTACCTGGAAGGGCAATGAATATAATGCCTGATATCACTGGGCTAGAGCTCACCACCTACCTTATACACTCCCGGACGTCCGACGCCCATTACATTCGGCGGCAATCCCGCTGGCAGAGCTCCAGTTCCAGCTGCTCCGCTCACCAGCAACTCCTCCTGCTTCAATATATTCTGCGGCGGTGCTGCGGCCACGGCTGCTGCTGCTGCCGCTGCCGCATTCCCACTGGCTGTCGTCATGTTGGACATGGGTGTGGCAGCCACGGTGGACACATTGAGGGTTATAGGGTTCACAGGTGTGGTCGCCGCCGTGGTTACCGTCGGCTGCTGCTGATGCTGGTTGAGAATTGCCGCTGGCGGGCGCAGCTGAGCCTTCAGGTTCTCACGATTTGGACTGTTCTGGATCACGGCCTGGCAGATTTGATAGCTACGCTCCAGATTGACCGCTCCTGGCGGCAACCTGTTGTTGGTGGCTTTGCGTCCCTTGCCTGTCGGCATTTTCGGCTGCAATCTCTGTTGGGCAATGGTTGTCGGTACTCCCGATGGCGGCAGAGTCTTCATCGTCAGAGTATTGGGAATCGTGGGTAATTGTTGTTGCAAGCTGTTGTTGTGATTGGACATTTGCTGTTGCTGTTGTTGCTGCTGCTGCTGCTGTTGTTGTTGCGGGGCAGGTACTGGTGGCGATTGCTGTTGCTGCGCGGCAGCTGTCACAGCAACAACATTGGCATAGGCGGACGGAATTGTTGTGGTGTTTGCTGTTGTTGCTGCTGTCGTAGGCGATGCATTGGCTGGTCGCGTCATGGAAATGATATTCAATGGCTTGGCTATGAACTTGGTCTGGGCGGTCACTGGTGGCACCACATTCTGCTGCTGCTGTTGTTGCTGCAACAAATTGTTGTTCGCTGCCTGGGCCAGCATTTGCCGCTGATGGAGTTGCGCCTGTTGTAAGGCGAATTGCTGAAGTTGCTGTTGCTTCTGTTGCGCCGCAGCCTGTTGCTGCTCCAGTTGCTGTTGTTGCTGCTGCTGCTGGGCGAGCAGGTTGGGCGACAGAAACTGCTGGGCTCCATTGCGTAGAGCCACCGGCAAGGTCTTGGCCAAGGCATTACTACTTGTTGCTTGCTGCTGCTGTTGTTGTTGCTGCTGTTGTTGCTGCTGCTGCTGTGCAGCGGCTGCTTGAAGCGTAAATTGTTGGAGAAGCTGCTGCTGTTGTTGCTGCTGCTGCTGTTGCTGGCGTTGCTGTTGCTGGAGCAGAAAGTTGCCGATTATCTGGCCATTGGAGTCCACTAGGATCTGACGCTGCTGTGGAGCAGCTGCTGTGTTGTTTTGCTGCGGCTGTTGCTGAGGTGCCGCTTGCTGCGGCAGTTGATTAAAGGAGAGGCTACTGCTGCTGCACAGGCTTAGATTGTTACTGCTGCTGTCGTTGCTATTGCTGCTATTAGTGATCACCGTGCTGGATACCTCCATTTCGGCAGCAGACATAGGTACAGCGTCGCAGAGCATTTCCTGGGAGATCTGGCGTTAAAATTTCATTCAAAATTATTATTTAAATATTTAATTTGCTTCCTTAAACTCACCTCATTCCCATACTCGCTGTGGGCTTGGGGCATAAACGAATGCTGTGCCAATTGCACCACCTGCCGCTGCGGCTGCTGTTGTTGCTGCTGCTGCTGCTGTTGTTGTTGATGCTGCAGCTTGTCCACTATCTCACGCACTGCATCGCTGTCTTCGTCTATCAGCTGCTGATCTTCCTGCTGCTCTTCGGTTATGCATTCCACCACCTCATCATCCTCTTCCTCCTCCTCTTCATCGTCCAGTTCCTCTTCGTCATCGATCACCTCATGGCACACATCGTTGTCCATAATGTCGTCGATAATCTCGGCTTCTTGCACCACATCCATCAGATTGATAGCCTCATGATTCAGGTTTTGTTGCTGATCTTCCGTGGACTGCGTACTGCTCAGCTTGATGTCACCAAAGTTCCAATCGTGCTGCACATGCTGATACATTTCACTGGAGTTCAATTCGACGGACAAGTCTTGCTGCTGCTGCTGCTGTTGCTGAAATTTGGCCACCG